CAGCTATTCCCGTTTTATATCACCATTGAATTTGAGGCAGTTTAAAACGATTTTGCACCACAAAACTACGATGGTGTTACTGCAGCCCCTCAGGCTTCGCTTTTGATCGCTAAACTGAACTTCTGCCTCTGGCCTCTAGGAAGGGGAAAAAATCATCTCAACATGACTAATGAGACTTCTTCTGAGAAAACTGATCTCTTCTTCAATCTGTTCCAAACAAATTATTGTGCTATTCATCATTGAACATGCCCGAACGCAAATTATTCATCTACTGCGTAAACCCTCAAAAATTCAATCATTCGACTTGAGGAGAAGGATACAAACTTTGAAAAGTTTTTAGAACTGCTTTTTAAAACCAGGTCAAATTTAGTCAATCTATTTAGGTGGATACAACTAGGTTATTTCCTCTTGTTCTGATAATCTTTTCCACCTTTTATCGTCATCCTTGCAGAATCAGACCCTTAAAATAGTTACAAATGCGAAAATGAGTAAAATGAATTATTACCGTAGCTCTTTCCCCGCCGCTTTTTTATCTGGGTCTCTGATAATGCACTCTGGAATGCATTACGTGTCATTAGGTTAAATATCGAACTTTTTCTTTGCCCGATTACAACAATGAGGAGAGGCACCTTCAACACGTAGTGGACTGGGCATAGGTGACTTTGCAGCAAGTCGCTTCTGCGAACTCTCTCTCACTTCTAGAGGATGAGTACCCAAGGGAGAGTTTTCATCCGTATCTTTTAGCACTTTAGCGCTCACATATTTCCTCGTTTCGCCGAAGAGAAAACAGCTCTTCTTAAACACCTATCGATTGCAAGCGCTATGGCCAAGTGACGTGAACGGAGGGATTTGTTTCGATCCTTGACCACCCGTGGGCTCGCTGCTGTCGGCGAAGCCATAGTTCTTGGATTGGATTACATCGTCGCGGTGAAGAACACTTATACTAGAGAGGAATTAATAATCGAAGCTGGCAACACGGCGATATTATCCCTTGTGTTTCGCACGATATCACCGCGTGATCCCGTGATTTAAGTCGTATAGCAGTCGTCACTACTTATACGGCTTTCACTTCTACGGGACTTCATAAAGACAGCAGCCATAGAACGCTGACGGATTGAACAAAAAACCATAGCAGTGGCCTCTGCGAGGAGGAACTCATGGAATGCGAGTGAAGAACTGCAATTACCTCAGCTTGATTCCAAAATAAAGCCGCACCCGTGCCAGGCACCATAAAGGTCTTAGTGACTCGTGACTTCTGCCACAATGACTTCTACTTGAGCTTTACGACTCTTTGAAGCAGGAAAGCCGTCGTTGTACGGCTTCATTCGCTTTCAACTATGACGAACGAATGTTAGAGGATGAACAGGAATGAGTTTACAGTAGCAAAAAGAAACTGAGCCCCCCCCTTACTCCTACAGTGCTCAGTTCCACTAACGGCATGCAACAAATGTAATTCAAAGATAATCAGAACAAGAGGAAATAACCTAGTTGTATCCACCTAAATAGATTGACTAAATTTGACCTGGTTTTAAAAAGCAGTTCTAAAAACTTTTCAAAGTTTGTATCCTTCTCCTCAAGTCGAATGATTGAATTTTTGAGGGTTTACGCAGTAGATGAATGATTTGCGTTCGGGCATGTTCAAGTGATGAATAGCACAATAATTTGTTTGGAACAGATTGAAGAAGAGATCAGTTTTCTCAGAAGAAGTCTCATTAGTCATGTTGAGATGATTTTTTCCCCTTCCATAGAGGCCAGAGGCAGAAGTTCAGTTTAGCGATCAAAAGCGAAGCTCTGAGGGGCTGCAGTAACACCATTCGTGGTTTTGTGGTGCAAAATCGTTTTAAACTGCCTCAAATTCAATGGTGATATAAAACGGGAATAGCTGGATACTGTAGTCCTAGCATGACTTGTAGTGAATGGTGTTTTGCTGCAGTAGGTATACTACTGAGAGAAATGCAAAGGGATATTCGGAATGCTTCTGCACTCATATTGCCCTAGTGCATTCAAGAGTGAAGCGTGGGATAGATGTCAAGCCTTATTTATAGCAACTTATCCCCCTGTCGCCTAATTTAGACTTCAGTTTTTTAGTTCCTAAATAAAATATTAAAGGCAATTCCTGGAATAAAACAGGTGTCTAAGTGCGCTTTGTAGCGATGATTGAGCTGCGAAAGAACTCAAAGTGGAAAGGAAAGCAAGACAATCATCGGAATGCTGAAATTAAGGCCTTAACCTCAATAAGGTCGGATGTGGTACGATGGTGGCGAGACAGGGCGATCAAAGAAGACAAACAC